TCAGATGTAAAAGGCAGGCTATGAAGGGGTTAGATGAATTAGTTTTTGAAGGTATGCAGATATCTCTTCAGATCAACAGATCCCAAATGGAACCTTTTTTATATATAAACTATTTGGAACATTCAAATGTGTATGTGACAGCCTCGATATCTTTCACGAATATATGTTTGATCTGCATGCTTTTTTACCAAGATTTTATCCCTAAAAAATCGGTTATTAAAAGGATTTATAATACAGCTCGATTTTCAGTCAAAGTATTTGTTTGAAGTTACGTATAAAATTACCAAATTTCACGTTCTTATTTGCTTTTCAAATGGATTTATTATCCAAAATCTTAGAGATAGAAAAATGGGTTGTATTAGGTCCAGAAAAAAGTTCGATCAGTTTTTTACTGATTTTCAAAATATGAAAACTTTTTGTACATTTGTCCGATTACGTTACGCCGTTTTGTTCATAAGATTGTTGCCAATGACATGTCAACTTCATTATAGCCCTCTTGTAGAAGGCTGCGTCACTATTGGCAAAAATCTCGGAGATCAAATTTTCACAGGTCTCTCTAGAGGCCAACTTCTCACCATTAAACGCGATTGCCATGGACAGAAAAAGATGGTTATCACTTGGCGCCAAATTCGAGCTCCTGGAGCTTCTGGCACATAACCAAAGACGTGTGTGGCCTGGCGTTGTCTTCATGGAACCCAATTCGGACTCTGTTGATCAAAGATGGCCTCTTCTGGATGAGAGCTGCCTTCAAGCGGACCATTTGTTAGCAGTAGAGGGCCGAATTGAACACACAGCAAAACCTAGTGCATCTATGACATCAAAATTACCGGATCGGAACCTAGCAACTCATTTTTGTGATACGCGTTCGTATCAGGTATCGGGCTTTAAGTTATGTTTTTCAGCCGCTTTGGCTGCTTTTTCGCCTTGATCGAAGAAAAATTGTAAAATGTAGCGAAATTTCTCTTTGCTGGTGTCCATCCTTGACGAGCGCTCACAACGTACTTTGTCAATCAATCGAAAACCGACAAAGATAAACTTTTAGCGCGAACAAACACGTCAGCGCTGTATAGGTCGACATGATGCGGCACTTAATACTAGTACTATGGACAATAACACCATGCCTTAGATAAAAACCGAACGAACTTTTTACTTGACCTAATATAATGAGCAAGAAGCACAGATCACTTGGGAACCTGCTAATAAATGCATTTTCTTATAAATAAGATGACGTGCAATTTCCGGCTATAAAATATCAGTAACTGGAGGAATTACTATATATAAAAGACCATTCCTCCTTCTTTACTGCCAGTTTGACCATATCTAAATATAAAGGGTTTTCCAAAAGAGACGCTATGATTTCAAAGTGTCGTTTTGGCAATTTTTAATATGTGACGATCTGTTATTTTACAATTTCATCATGGCAATATATACGCAAAAACAATTTTTACAAACAACAACAACTTGAAACTGTTAACGTTTTTTTAAGAAAATTATATCTTCCGTTTAAGCTCACTTCCATCTGAGTGGTGCGGTAAATAAACAAAACTTTCGAGTCTGGTGCGAAGAAAACCCACAAATTATACATGAACAACCCTTATATAAATCTAAATTGACAGTTTGGTGTGGTTTTTGATCTGGTGGAATCAACGTCCGATACTTCATTTGAAACGAAGGGGGAGTACCGTTACTGCCAAGGAAGGGTGCTATAGATCGATGATAACCAACTTTTAACGGCCACAATTGGAAGAACTTGATCTTAACAACATCTGGTTCCAAACCGATGGGGCTAAGTATCATTAGCACGTGCAAAAACCAAAAAATTGTGTCATTGAATCGCTTACCAGTAGTTCTGACTTAACACCATTGGACTACTACTTATAGCGATATTTGAAGTCAGTAGTTTTTAGCAATGTCCTAGACTCTCTTCAAAGCTTTGATAGTCAAAATTTATTGGATTTAGTGGAAAAATTGCATTAAAATTGGGCACATCGAATTCGGTCCTGAGAAACGAGTCGTGGAGGCTTTTTTGTTGTATTCAGAACTTAATTTTATCGATTGTACTTTACATTAAATAAATAATATTTGATTATCCTTAACAATTAGGGTTTTTCTTTTTTGTCACATCACTCTTATTGCAAAACCCTATATATCTATACTAATTATATAAATCAAGCACCGTATTCACGATCAAGTGTCACTCAAGAGTAAAAATTGAGATTTCACATTTAACCCACTAAAATGTGCGAGCAATAAATAAATTAATTAACAACTCAACGAAGCGAGCGAGGCGCGAGCAGAGCCATGCAGCTGTATACCCTTGTTAACAAAATAATAACAGCAACAGCAAATATTTGCCACAGTTTCAGTATAAAAATTTTAAGCCATGAACATACACACAATAACATAAAAATGTAGTTATGTAATTAAATTTAAATATATCCACATTACCATATAAATTTTCATGATTTTTTAACGAATCACTCACAACTCGTATATTTCTAAGGCGGAGAGGAGGTTGAGAACTCGCTAATTTTTGAAGCAAGTATTGCTAAATGCCGCCAGACTCTGTGAACATTTTATATTAATAGTTTACAGATAAAGGCACAAAGATTCTCATTATGCATGTGATTCTCACACGAGTATGTATGTGTGTATATGTATGTATTAGTTTGTTTGTATATGTTGGCGTGACGGTATCGCATGGAAACTCAAACAACAACACTACCAAGGTTCCACTTAGCTGAACATCGTGTTAAACGCCCCAACTATGACAACAGACACAACACAGTGTAAATTCCGCAACAGCAACAACAATGTTGATAATGAAAAGAGCTTTTGGAAAAAGACAATAAGAGAAATATTTAAATATGTAATAATAATGCATGTGAAGCAGAACAGAGTGGAGCTAAATTAAGCTGAGCATAAAAAAATAGCAACACAAGCTACAATTGTTAACAGGAAGTGAAGTCCCAAAAACAAAAACAAAACTCAAAGCAAAAAATAAAAATAAAAAATTAAGGTAAATAAATAAAAAATATAATAGAAAATGAAACTTAAATTCTGCCCCCCATCCCGCCGACTTGCTGACTGCTTACATACATCTACATGTATATGTATGTATTCTGGCTGAGTGTGTTGACTACACTTTACAGTTCGGTTGCTCGTTCGCCAGCAGCTTCTGGCTTCTGCAATGTGTAATATAATTCCCACCACTTGCCCATTTGCCATCGCCCGAATTTTGTATGGAATTTCAACCGCAGCCATTCACCTAAAACACTGCACAATTAATGACAACAATTGCTGGTGTTTTCCGGTTGCCATGGCAGCCATCAACAAACAGTGTAGCAGCATTCAAAACAACAATGGCAAACTATTATGTGTGGCTGCGTTTTTTTGTATGTATGTATGTATGTATGTATCTAGCTTTGTGAATAAGTTTGTGAATATGTTTGTTGTTGGCCACACAATGCCGTCATCAAATCAGAATGTGCGTGTTTGCCGGCAACAAGTGCGCCGCATAGTGCACCAAATCTGTGGCACAGTAGGACATATTCGCTAGCCGTTCTCAGGTGGAGAAGCAGATAGACCGAAAGAAAGAAATTCAGTTCCAAAGAAGAAAAAAAAAATGGTCTATAATCAAAACCCCTACGTAAAATTAATTCTGTCTAATCTCTCGGATACATAACGTTTTCTAAGCTTTTGGCCTCCAACTTATTTCTCTTTCATGTCCCGTGCGAAATTCCAGTTTTTTTCTTTACATCAATATCGAGAAATCTAATTCCTATTACTTTATTTTGGAGTATGAAAAAGGAATTTTCATATTAAATACAATATTTCGATAAATTAGTCAAGAAAAGCATAATTTTATTAGGTTTTTAAAGGGCAGTATTTATTGTATTAGTCCCAGGGATATCCAGCAAATAATTATTTTCATCATTTCAACAGCACAACAGTGTAGCCAGACTTAACTCCTTTGCGGCATAACTGCTTCGGGCCAGTAAATTGAGATCTAACGATACGACAAAACATTTCGTGAAAAAGAATAGAATGGATTATTCTTTCCCGCCAAGTGTGTGGTCATGAGCTACTCGTTTGGAAGAGAAAACCTCCGATTTATTGAAAGGGGAAAATTTCATATGTTGATAAAGCTGTGAATTGTACAGTGGTTGCAAGTGGTGCAGCGGGGTTAAAAACGGTCGTAGGTCTGTGTATGATGAACAGAGGAGCAAAAAAAAAACCTCTAATTAGACTGTCGAAATATCGGAAAAATCAATTCGGAAGTAATTAGGCACAACATGAGTAATAAAAATTTAAGAATATTTTCGACTGCTACGGAAGTGTCGGCACTAATGTTAAAGGAATTAAGAATTTTTTTTTGAATTTCTATTGCTGAAGTTTGATCACTCATAATTTTTATACTTTTCAATCAATATTTAATTATTCTGCTTAATTGGTTACATGGATATAGTAGCGTCAGCCAATCCTCTTCAGATCTCGGTGCTAAGTGAAGTCATGTCCCTTTCCACCTGATTCTTCAAAGAAGTGGTGCTCCATCTCTAATCCCACGAGCGGGTATTGCACAGAAAACTTTCTTCTCACTTATTCTCATACAAATGAGCGACATGACCCAGCCAACAAATTTAGTTGTGTTCGGCGTTCTTGTTTCTGATCTCTGCAGCATAGGAATCTTTATCATCAATTGGTTTTTTTTTTTTAAATTTAATTTTTTATTATCTCCATTTTATCTCACACCGCCACACTGTGCCTTGGCGTGGCTAGTTTTTATTTAAGTTCTGAGTTTATGTTGCTGGTTATAACTAATTCTACCGCTAGTGGAGGTGCTTAACTATGCACACACATACATAAATGCTTATAGAGCAACGGGAAAAGGTTTGCCAGATTGGATTTTGACGTGAGCGTTCGCCTGACAGTTATGTGCGGAAGTAGAATGAGTGCAGCGGTGCAACAGTGATGAGCTCAAATAACTGTATAATTGCGCTATAAAAAGTTGAGTTAAAAAAAAAATATATATATATATATATCTAGAAAAAAACACCGTTAAGTAGTACATAATCACGACGAATGCAAAAACTGGCAGATAATTGTGAGATGATGGAAAACAGCGAATGCAAAAACAACAACCCGATAAATGAGCGAATACAAATTTGCAACAACAAATAAGACGTCCGACCGTCAATTGTTTATCACCACAACAAAAGGTGCTCATTTGCATATTTAAGCAAAGCCACTGCCTCAACTGCCCAACTAAAACTAAATTCGTTACATATTATTTTGTGCTTGTTGTTGTTGTCTCGGCATTTAACAATTTTTGAAATTATTGTGCTAAAGTGAGTGCATGAAGAGAAGTGAATGATAGATAAATTAACAACTTAACAGCGTAACTATGATAAATTTGAATATTTAAGTGCTCCTAATAGAGCGCAAACAAAAGTATGTTCGTAGGTAGTGAATAATTTCAGCGAATGTTTGTGCGCTCTGCTTTATACATACGATCAGACCACGGCGCGTTACTTCTGGGCCAAGCGTCTGACTCACAGCTGTCGCCGCACGCACCGCGCCGAAACCCTACAACGCTACCGCTAACCGCGCGCATAGCTTTTGCTCACAACTAAGCTCAGTGCACTTCACGGCAATACGCTACAATTCAGTACAGCTCAGCTATGCTTGGTGCGCGCTCCACTCGTGTGCGTTTGAAGCTCACGCGCGCTTATCAAACGATCACATAGTTAGCTCTTGGCGGCTTAACGCGCAGATAACGGTTGTATAACGAAAAAATAACAGTTGGTTTAAGCCATATCAGTGCGGGCAGTAAGCCCACTCAGTCGTGCTCGTTGAACACAATACTGCTATCTTTCTCTACTCTTCGCTTAGTTCTTATCACAGTTACCTAATAGCCAAAACCCGCGGAGAACGTTCAATGTTACCGCCGTGTAAAGCGTCATGGTGCCGCTTCGCCATTTGGCTCACAATCGGAATTCTGCTTTTGCTGGTAGTCTTGGTGCTCGTCGTATTGGCCATCTTCGGTAGTCACCCATGCGCAGGCGCTCTAGATAATTGCGATGCTTTCAAAGCCATTTGCGCCTCATATAACGGCGATCATCAATTCTTCTACAGTCAATGTGAAATGCTGCGGGAGAATTGCCTCACAGGCAGCGGTGAGTAGTGGAGTTTTTGTTTGAGCTTTCTCATATTTACTTTTCCTCTCTTTTACTTATTTCTCATTTATATACTTTTTCTTGTTTGTTTATGACTAATTTTATATTTTGTATTTATTTCTGTTTTCGTTTGAATTCGTTTACAGATTGGCAGCAAGATCACTATAATCATTGCAATGTGCATATTTAAGTATTCTCGCTTTTGCTGGGAACTTCTTTGGATGTGTAGATGACGAGTTATAAGTAATTAAGCAATTTAAGTAATGATTCATAACTAAATACCAATGTGCTCATTCCAAAGACTATAATTCCTTTAAACGTAAAATATTAAATAACACATCTAACGTAGTTTAAGTCAAGATTTTATATTTAATTCAATAGAATATTTCAAAATTAGTTGAGAAATAGGCTTGCGTAATTTAAAAAGTTTACAATTTTAAATATTAAGTTTAGTATTGTTTAATAATAGGCATTACTATGTAAGCCAACAACTGTTACCAAATAATATTACAAACTAAATTATATATACAATAAATAAAACAAATTAATTTTGCCTTGTGATTTTCACGAAAAACCCATCGAAATATGGGGAATTAGAAAAATATTACAAGCCAATAAAAATAAAATAAGAAGAGTAAAATAAAATCAACAACACTATACAACAAAAAATTAAATTAATCAATTAAAAAAATTAAAAATAAATTAAATTATAAAAGAGAATGAAAGCAATAAAACAACAGAAATTAACGTAAAATAAAGTAAAGTACAATAAAACAAAATAAGAAAATATAAATAAAATAAAATAAAGTAGAAAAAATATTAAAAAATACATTATCAAATTAGAATAAAATACAAAATACATACAAAATTTTAAATATTTATTTAAAAATTATTATATTAAAACAAAATAAAAATAAAATTATAAATAATGAAATAACAGAAATTTAAATAAAATAGAGTAAATTAAAATTAAATTATATATATACAAAATAAAACAAAATACTGTTAAACAAAATATTTAAAAAAATAATATTACAAAAAAACGAATTTGAGCGCCAATAAAATAAAATACTATATATACAAAAAAATTATTAAATAAACAAAATGAAAATATGGAAAATAAAAAAATTTAAATAAAATGAAAACAAAAAAAAAAAACAGAGTGGATAGCATTGCGTACTGCCATTCGGAAGGCTCGGTCTCATATCCCCTTGCGACCAACATCCAAAAGTTATAGAAAACTAATTTAAATAAAAAATTAAGCTAAATTTTCTAATTGCGGTCGCCCCTCGACAGGGAATGTCAATCGCTCCGAGTGCATTTCTGATATGAATTAAAGCTACTTATAAAAAAAGCCCTCAGCAGGTCGGAGGTAGCTTAGGCTAACCTGTAGATACCTCCATTTGCTGGAAAAATATCAAGACGCAAAACCACGAATTGGAGGAGCAGCTCGGTGGAAAATCGCTTCAGCGGTTACAAAGCGCCTGTTATATTATATACATAAACTACAGTTAATTTAAATAAATAAAAAAAATTATATAAAATAAAATAAAAATAATAATGAAATTAGCACAAAACAAATAAATGTAAAACATTAGAATAAAAAAAAAAAATTAAAAAAAGACGGGAATTTAAATAAAATACAGTAAATTGCAATTAAATAATATTAATAAAATAAATAAATATTATAAAATAAAATAAATAAATAAAAAATAAAATAGGATTGAGTAAAATAAATTAAACTAAAACAAAAAAATTAAATTGTATAAAAAAAATAAAAAAAATTAATAAAACAAAAAAATTTAGTTAAAGTAATTAATATAAAACATGAGCTACATATACATATATTGTATTATATTTATCTCAAATAAACTGAATAGTTTCGCCGGAAGCGATACTTGCTTCAATAACTTTAAGAGATGATGTTTGAGTGATTGTCAACGACTGAACGCAAATCGGCCTCAAAATCTGTCCTTGGTTCCGAAAAGAATAAATAGAAATCAAATTGAATTAATTTAGTGTTTAATTATGAATTTGTTTATACGAACAAATTATTGGAACATTAGCATGTGTATACAAATGTTTACGTGTTGGTAGCAATATTCGATGTAGTCACTTGCACTTTTTAAATTAGGGCAAACGCTGTGTCTGCTCGGGGTATCCTTTAGGACTTGTTAATCGGAATTGAATAAAACAAATTGTAATATTGGTGGTCGAACCAATAACATGCGGTTGGTAAATATTTATATACATATCTACTTAAGCCGTTTGGCTACTCACTTATACCCAGTAGGGCTTCTGGCCTAAGCAGTGATTATAAAAAATGTTTGAGCTTCGGAACACAGCTAAATTCGTCATCTAATATCACCATCAAGTACGACAATTATATTTATCAATTTAATTTTAATAAGTATGAAAATTTATTCACCAAAATGACTCATATATGTACAACCGCCATGTAATTTGAAGCGAATCACCCAGTTAATTTACTTTAAACAATTTTTTTGTGTAGCGGTAATATGAGCATATATGAAGATATCTGACCGCAAGAGGCCAATCACCTGGCGATTGTGACAGTGCGTCACAACAGTAAGCGCGCAAAGAGCGGGAGGAGAGTTTGAAATGTGTTTAGTGCCGTCAGAAATGAATGAATGAATGGCCGAGTGAATGAATAAGCGCGTATTTACTGTTTACTACAAGCCGGTTCAGCAGTGCAGTCGCTGAGCTGGGCTTTCACGTTTTGTTTCTTCTTCTTAACTACCTTTTTACTATTAGCGCACGCTTAAACAATATGGACTGCATTACAGCATATGAATTAATGAATATTTTCATATGTATGTACATATTTGAAATATTTGATGACGGCCTTAAGTAATAAAACGTGACAAATTAGTAACGAAAAAGTTAATTACCGCTAATTGTTGTTGCTATTGTCACAAGACATGCAATAAAAAGTGTCGCCACTTAAGCGGTCAACGATTTGTCTAATTAAATTTTAATTTTTATTTTTTAAAATTATTTTTATTTTTATTTCCAACTTTCTCACTTCAATTATGCCGTTTAAAGGCATTCAAAGTTTAAGTAAAAAATATTTACGTCAAACTAACTGTAAATTTTTATATATTTATATACATAATACATTATTTAAAATACTCTATATGAATTAAGATATCAAAACATTTTCTATATTTGAAAGAAAGCTTCATTTAAAGAATTATCATTGTTGATTTGCTTGCCTTTAGTCTTTTTGCTGCCAAAAAGCTGTGCAAATATTTTCATGAATTTCCATTGAAATTAAAAAAGAGACATTCTTAAAACATATATTATATATGCACATAGCAATATATAGGTGTTTCTGTTTATATCATCATATGTATGAATAATTCTTATTTTGATGAAATTAAATACAGCTTTCATATTATCAATTACACACAGCACAAATGTGAATAATTTCGGTTCATTTATGGCAACTGTTTTTTATTTTTACCTTTAGTATATATAAAAATTTATAATAAATATATTGTTAGGCATTTGAAATTATTAAATATATATATTTTATTATATGCAAACTTAGTCCCGTGAAAAACGAGATTTTTTAAAACAATCTTATTCTGCTGATACGAAATCCTACTGGTTACATACAATCACTTGACGCGAGGCCCGGACTATAAAATGTATGCATATGAACCTCGTCCTGGCATTGTTCTGATGGTTAAAGCTAGGCGCAACAAAAAGATTGATTCCTTTGATCAGTCCAGCTGCTGACAATACAGGCCCCAATTTAGAGTTTGGCAGTACGGGAGACGCTCATAGCGAACGATTCCTTGCCAACCCCACCAAACTCACAACAAAACATTCCTGGCTGTCGGTTTGTGTCCTCACAATGAAATAGTCCATGAGGAAGGCCAAAATAATCAAAATCGTCAAGTTTGAATATAATGCGAGCACTGCTTCGATTAAACAGGAGTTATCTTCAAGAGCTTTCCATATGAACTGTTGCACTATCAGGACCATGGAAACTATTCATATAACGTTCTACCATATTTACTGTTCACTCATTTTTCACGTGCTGTTATATAGATAAAGAGCGTTGATGATGTCGGCATCCGAAAGGTCAGTTCTTCAAGGTCTTGAGAAAAGGGGCTTAGTGAACGTATAGATGACGTATACGAAGAAATTATGAGCCGTATGAAATACATGATAACAGAACTCAGCGAGTTTATATATATTTATAAATCTATATATACACGTATATATAAATATATAATTGGCACTTAAACACCGCTGAAGCGCCTTTCGGGTCGAGCTCTTCCTCCAATTTGAAATTTTGAATCTTGACGATTTCCCAACTAATGGAGGGACCTAGAGTTAAAACTAAGCCCCCTCCGAATGACTGATGATCACTCAGCGAGTTTAGAAACCACAAATACACTGTATAAATCAAGTCGACCGTGTGAATGGAAAAACTCCAGGTCTGAAAGAGTTCGATGCATTACCTGTGGGTGCAAGAGCAGGAAAAAGAATCCCTCTTTTTCGTTGGAAAGATCAGGTGAAGCAGGACGTGGTATCATTTGATGCTCTCAATTGGCGCCATGCAATGCAGGAACGACTGGTGAAGTGTTGTTGAAGTGTCCCATGCAACATGTCCCATATATACAATCGTGAGCAATTCCGTGGGAGGTATAATTTGCATACTACATTAGTATTTTAGTAAAAAAAAAAAAAACATTTTATAGTTTAAGTCACATCATTTTTGATTGGAGATTTTTCAGATCCAATTTCTTCCAAAGATTTGTTGTCGCTCGCTGTTCCCACTAACGAATTTCCAGCATCAGTAAACCCGGTATGAACAGAACAGTATGATGCGTATGAACCAGTGCATGTGCATATATATTTAAATACATATACATACATATTTAGGTACTCGCATATATATATTTATTTTGCACTGATTTGATATATATTTTGTAATGTTCATAACCAAAAAAGATTATAGCTAAAAAAAAAATTTTTTTTAAGAATTTATTTATTTATTTTGTATTTATTAAAAACATTGTTAGAATTTGCTGTGTATTTTACCATATATGCATTTATCATATATGTATGTGTATTACATTCATACTTACATAATCGTATGTATATGTTCATTATTTTATAAAATTTTTTGAGGTTTTTGTTTTGAGTAAATAAAATAAATTAAAATAAATAAACTGAAACATAATGAAAGAGAAATAGTAATACCGTTATTTACATAGACTTACATATCCATACCTACGTAGTGTGTATGTATACGCCACAGATATATGTGGCTGTGTTATAATTGAATAACAACAAATTGTATATCAAATCAAAGCAATAAATTGAGAATAGAATAAAAACTACATAGCAAATATTTAAGAGTTTAAATTTTATAAAAATATATTCGAATAACTTACAATGAAATGCTGGAGAGCATTGCGAATTAATATAAGAAATAGTTTAAAACACAAGAAAATAGGCTTATTTAAAGCGAATCTAAAGATTTCGTAATATTAAATATACCAACAAAATGTTATCAA